TGTGTTTCTAGCTCCGACAGTGCAGTAATATCTAACAAGTAATATCTAACAATTTCACAACATATACCCAAAACACACAATCTAAGTAAGGAATGGAATTAAGAATATACACATATGGAAGAGCAATGACAACAGATGGATGTTCTGTGAGTGCACTTCTAGTGTGCCTGTGCTAGCCATCCACAATTCAGAGGGAGTGAACGAGTAGGGAGGAGGACAGTGTAAACTAAGCCAGTGGCTAGCCTAGGTAAGGACTTGAAGACTCTACTACTGTGTGATTCACATGCAGTAGTTATAAAATAACCCCAGGCAGTGATGGTGCAATATGGAGGTCAGGTCGGTTCAGAAAGAGAGCTTTTGTTCATTCTAGGGGTGCAGTGTATAACTAAGCTACTGATCCATACCGAAGCCTAATATATTGACAAATATATTTACATACATATTCTATGACGTGCTCAAGTTATATATATTTCATAAATATATTCTGGACATACAGTGGGGAGAACAAGTATTTGATACACTGCCGATTTTGCAGGTTTTCCTACTTACAAAGCATGTAGAGGTCTGTAATTTTGATCATGTGATTTTCTGAACTTTTGTTTTAGATTCCGTCTCTCACAGTTTAAGTGTACATATGATAAAAATTACAGACCTCTACATGCTTTGTAAGTAGGAAAACCTGCAAAATCGGCAGTGTATCAAATACTTGTTCTCCCCACTGTATATGTAAATACAGTTTGAATTCCCCTGCATATATGTACATATATTATAATGAGTTTTCCGTATGTGACTAGGTATGGTTAAAACCTCTACAGGATCGGTGTGCCTATACCGGGACGGTGGCTGCTCAATATGCGATATGTGACTAGAACGGCATTGTAAACAGCAGCCAACTTTCCGGGACATAGACATGTCTTATATTGGCAGAAAGCTTAACTTCTTGTTAATCTAACGGCAGTGTCCAATTTACAGTAGCTATTACAGCTAAAAAAAATACCATGCAATTGTTTGAGGATAGTGCACAACAACAAAACGCTTTTGTCACGGCAACTAGTTTGATACATTCACCTCTGAAGGTAAATAATGTACTTACATTCAGTAATCTTGCTCTGATTTGTCATCCTGAGGTTCCCAGAGATAAAATGTAGCATAGTTTTGTTTGATAAAATCCATTTTTATATTCAAATGTAGGAACTGGGTTCTACAGTTTGACCCCCTGCTCTGGATCACCCCGGCCAATTAGATGTGTGAAGGTTAGTGAATTTTCTGTAGGGAAGCTAATGATCCATCATGTATGACATTCCTGGGAGTGTGTAAACTAAAACATTTTATTACCATAGCATTTTTGTATGTTGTCTATAGTTATGTACTTGAAAATGTATAAATTGACCAATTCGGAACATTTGGGGAAAACTCCTGGCTGACTTAATACAAAATATTGTGTAGTGATGTAATCCTTAACTGGATCAGTCGGAAACTTCGCACACACAATGCTGCCATCTTGTGGACAAAATATACACTACACCTAGATTCCTACATCACTGTCTGGCCCTTTTCTTTCATTTCAAAACTGATTCAACAAAAAAATATATAGAAAACGCATGTTTTTTTGTTTGTATTATCTTTTATCAGATCTAATGTGTTATATTCTCCTACATTAATTTCACATTTCCACAAACTTCAAAGTGTTTCCTTTCAAATGGTATCAATAATATGCATATCCTTGCTTCAGGTCCTGAGCTACAGGCAGTTAGAGTTGGGTATGTCATTTTGGCAGAAATGGAAGAAAAGAGTCCAATCCTTAAGAGGTTTTAAGGCACTGTTCTGAGCTGGATGCTAAGCCAATCCCTCCCTTGTGACCTGGTCACACTCTGACCAAGCAGTCCACCTTAAGAGACTGCACTCAACACCATGAACTACAACCAAAGTCAAAGCCAAACGTGACATTCACTGCAAACTAAACTAAACTAATCAATGTATCAACATCCAAAACCAAAGGTGCAGATCTAAAACAGAATCTAAAGGGTTAACATACACCTGTGCAGTAGGTAGAGTACCAGGTGGATAATATAGCCTGCCAGATCATATAACGGCCTCTAACTGGCAGTAGGTAGAGTACCAGGTGGATAATATAGCCTGCCAGATCATATAACGGCCTCTAACTGGCAGTAGGTATGATACCAGGTGGATGATATAGCCTGCCAGATCATATACTGGCTCATTCATCCCCCCTCCTCTCCCCTGTAACTATTCCCCAGGTCGTTGCTGTAAATGAGAATGTGTTCTCAGTCAACTTACAGTGGGGGGAAAAAAGTATTTAGTCAGCCACCAATTGTGCAAGTTCTCCCACTTAAAAAAAGATGAGGCCTGTAATTGTCATCATAGGTACACGTCAACTATTACAGACAAATTGAGGAAAAAAAATCCAGAAAATCACATTGTAGGATTTTTTATGAATTTATTTGCAAATTATGGTGGAAAATAAGTATTTGGTCACCTACAAACAAGCAAGATTTCTGGCTCTCACAGACCTGTAACTTCTTCTTTAAGAGGCTCCTCTGTCCTCCACTCGTTACCTGTATTAATGGCACCTGTTTGAACTTGTTATCAGTATAAAAGACACCTGTCCACAACCTCAAACAGTCACACTCCAAACTCCACTATGGCCAAGACCAAAGAGCTGTCAAAGGACACCAGAAACAAAATTGTAGACCTGCACCAGGCTGGGAAGACTGAATCTGCAATAGGTAAGCAGCTTGGTTTGAAGAAATCAACTGTGGGAGCAATTATTAGGAAATGGAAGACATACAAGACCACTGATAATCTCCCTCGATCTGGGGCTCCACGCAAGATCTCACCTCGTGGGGTCAAAATGATCACAAGAACGGTGAGCAAAAATCACAGAACCACACGGGGGGACCTAGTGAATGACCTGCAGAGAGCTGGGACCAAAGTAACAAAGCCTACCATCAGTAACACACTACGCCGCCAGGGACTCAAATCCTGCAGTGCCAGACGTGTCCCCCTGCTTAAGCCAGTACATGTCCAGGCCCGTCTGAAGTTTGCATTTGGATGATCCAGAAGAGGATTGGGAGAATGTCATATGGTCAGATGAAACCAAAATAGAACTTTTTGGTAAAAACTCAACTCGTCGTGTTTGGAGGACAAAGAATGCTGAGTTGCATCCAAAGAAAACCATACCTACTGTGAAGCATGGGGGTGGAAACATCATGCTTTGGGGCTGTTTTTCTGCAAAGGGACCAGGACGACTGATCCGTGTAAAGGAAAGAATGAATGGGGCCATGTATCGTGCGATTTTGAGTGAAAACCTCCTTCCATCAGCAAGGGCATTGAAGATTAAATGTGGCTGGGTCTTTCAGCATGACAATGATCCCAAACACACCGCCCGGGCAACGAAGGAGTGGCTTCGTAAGAAGCATTTTAAGGTCCTGGAGTGGCCTAGCCAGTCTCCAGATCTCAACCCCATAGAAAATCTTTGGAGGGAGTTGAAAGTCCATGTTGCCCAGCGACAGCCCCAAAACATCACTGCTCTAGAGGAGATCTGCATGGAGGAATGGGCCAAAATACCAGCAACAGTGTGTGAAAACCTTGTGAAGACTTACAGAAAACGTTTGACCTGTGTCATTGCCAACAAAGGGTATATAACAAAGTATTGAGAAACTTTTGTTATTGACCAAATACTTATTTTCCACCATAATTTGCAAATAAATTCATTCAAAATCCTACAATGTGATTTTCTGGATTTTTTTTTCTCATTTTGTCTGTCATAGTTGACGTGTACCTATGATGAAAATTACAGGCCTCTCTCATATTTTTAAGTAGGAGAACTTGCACAATTGGTGGCTGACTAAATACTTTTTTTCCCCACTGTACCTGGTAATTTTTTTTTTAAAATATATATATATATATATAAAAATAATGGCCTCTAACTGGCAGTAGTGGTAGAGTAATGGCTCTCCCTGGGACCTGATAGGCCCCAGTACAATGTTAATGATTACCAACCCCAGCCCTTACCTCGCAGGCTCAGTCCTGTAAGCCCAGAGCAGTGTTAAATACTGTTCCTGGGTCCTCGGCTAGATCAGGGCCCGTATTCAAGAAGCGTCTCAGAGTAGGAGGGCTGATCATCTAGGATCAGGCCCTCCTCTTCATATAATCTTATTCATTGTAATCTAAAAAACTGATCCTAGATCAGCACTCTTACTCAGACTGTGAATACGGGCCCATGGCAGTAGGGTCACTAACTCCAACTCAGAGACAGAGGAGAGCTGTGTAGCGCTTCCCTGCCACAAGTCTTCTCTAGACAAAACACAAGTAATTGGATGGAGAAAAAAAAACGGGTGGGAAAAAGGACCCTGGAGCGAGTCGGCGATGGCAAATGCATAGAAATGTACTATTTCACTGATCTAATATTTCATTTAGGAGAGGGGGACAAACTGCTGGGTTGAAAAATGTAGACGACTCAATTTAAACTAATAAAAGGAATAAGAGGGAATTGGTTGTAGCTGTTCTAATACATCCCAATTAGGTAAGAAGGACGGGCATCTTTGGTAATGGCGTTTAAATGATGATGCATAATTTGACATGGTGAAGGAGGCAGCCATCATGCATCGTTCCTCCACACAACCTAGTGGAGGGAGATTTACTATGGCACACTCCAACACGCCAGGCCTCATTTGCATTGACAGGTCTGATATATAACCATTGTACAGCAGTACACATATATGCACACACACACACTGCTGTGTGCTATACACTCCTCCTCTGAGACGGTCAGTGAGGCTGCCGCCGGAGTCTGCTGCCATGGCAACATGTGCTGGTGGACACACACAAACACAGGGGCTATTTGAGAGTGGTTGACAGGTCTCTATCTAGCCGGTCAGGATTAGAGCTATCCCTCACAGCGAGCTGACTGAGAGCGAGAGAGACGTAGAGTACAATCACTTGAACCTGAGCTATGGAGATTAGAGAGAGAGAGAGGCCTACTCCTGGCCTGGACATTGGAAAATATACAATACAATGACAGACTGGCTTGTAACTGAGAGCATGGTTAATTTGGGACTGGTTGAACGAATTAACTAAATTATTGGAGCGGATTATAAGCTAATGTGAAAAGTAATTTCATATAACTCTTTGGCTGTCATCTTAAATTGGGGTGAATATCTATTTGAGGAAACATTACGAGTCTTTTGTGAGGTACAAACAGAATGTGACTTACGTTTGACGGTGAGGTCGGCGTAACTGGACACGCCCACGCCCTTGTCTGAGTGGACGATGCAGCGGTAGCGGCCCGAGTCTTCCTTGGTGGTGTTCTCCACGTCGAACACGGCGATGTAGCGGCGGGAGTTCACCGGCTTGGTCTCTCTCATCGGGGTCTGTCTCCCTCCGATACCCTGGTAGGAAAATATACAGCAACAAACCGGTCATGTAAATGTACATTAGGAATGCTGTGTCAATAAAAACATCCCCCATCCAAAATGGTTCCCCTCATTTGACAGATGCCAAAATGTGTCTTCTGCAGTGACTCGTCAAACTTTGTTTATGAACTCAACACTGCCAGCATGGTGTAGACTAGACTACAATAGATTGTACTGCAGACTGTAGCGATTTCAAATCTCCACACACGGCATACTGTAAACACTAGTGCTGAGGCCGAGTGAAGAGTGCCTGCGGGCTACGGGGTCTAACACCACCGCTGCCGTTCTCCCTGTGCTAACCAGCAGGTTTCCATTCCGCTGGTGTGTTTATGTATGGGAGAGGAGTACGAGGCTACCTGGCAGGCAACGCTAGTCTAGTCCTCCTGGGAAAAAGGAAACGCACCGTTGCAGACGGTCACAGAGAGGTCAATCTGAACTGTTAACGGTCAAAGAGTTCAGACGGGAGAGAGGAACACAGACCAAACAGAGCACTGGGTCTTCATGTGAAGAGGAGATATCCTCCTATTGTTTTCATGTGACGCATGAAACTGGAAGAGGGGGTCAAACACAGCTTAGGGCAATGCCACAAGTGGTGTATCAGCAGGCTGTGTGTGTTGGTCTCCTGGTCTGTTTGGAGAGAGAGGGACAGAGGATCCTGTCAGCGAGAGCTGCGCTGTTTGGTCTTCTGTCTGCACACACACATCCCCGGCTCCCCCACAGCTGTCACCATACACACACATCCCCGGCTCCCCCACAGCTGTCACCATACACACACATCCCCGGCTCCCCCACAGCTGTCACCATACACACACATCCCCGGCTCCCCCACAGCTGTCACCATACACACACATCCCCGGCTCCCCCACAGCTGTCACCATACACACACATCCCCGGCTCCCCCACAGCTGTCACCATACACACACATCCCCGGCTCCCCCACAGCTGTCACCATACACACACATCCCCGGCTCCCCCACAGCTGTCACCATACACACACATCCCCGGCTCCCCCACAGCTGTCACCATACACACACATCCCCGGCTCCCCCACAGCTGTCACCATACACACACATCCCCGGCTCCCCCACAGCTGTCACCATACACACACATCCCCGGCTCCCCCACAGCTGTCACCACACACACATCCCCGGCTCCCCCACAGCTGTCACCATACACATACATCCCCGGCTCCCCCACAGCTGTCACCATACACACACATCACCCGGCTCCCCCACAGCTGTCACCATACACACACATCCCCGGCTCCCCCACAGCTGTCACCATACACACACATCCCCTGCTCCCCCACAGCTGTCACCATACACACACATCCCCGGCTCCCCCACAGCTGTCACCATACACACACAGACCGCGCATGCACACACGCCAGATTGGGGCCATTTGTTTTCAGGAATATTTCTTCATTACTGTCACCCGGGGGATTTCACTTAATGCTAGTGTTTAATCTCTGCCGTTAACAAGGATTAAAGGCGTTCGGTAAGAGGAATGACTAACTCACACACCGTCAACCTCTGCACAACACACTGATATGCAGATGACAGTGGCATGTTTGACAAGGAGTCCGGTAATGGCAGTTTGCCTTCATGTGACCGCAACATGGTGACACACTTAGGATCTAAAATGACCACAACTGGACTGTTTAACGCTTTATTTCAATAAAAACCTTGAACCAACCTGTGCCTGACTAGCAGTACTTTTACATTAAATATCATAAAAGACAAACACGTTCTCAGCATTTCATCCTCAAAGTGCCATGACAGTCAAAATGACCTTATGCATATTTAACAGTAGAATAGCCAGGCCTCAAGGATTACCAACAGCCGGCTATCTAATAAAACTATTTAAGCCTGGCCTCGTTGGACACCTCTTCGTGTCGATGTCATTTGGTTGTGTTTATGAAGGTCTTAGGTAAGAAATGTAAATATTTGAAAGAACATAACATTTTCATTAGTTTAAACAAAAAAACACAGAATTTCAAGTGTAAAATAAATGTTTCATTTGGTGTCCTGAGGTTTCTTATTACCTATTTTAACATAATAAATGCATTCATTTAGCAATGTATTATTTATTATGGAATATGTACACAATTGAAATATCAACTGAATGACCATCTAGTAGTTATGGAATTCCGGCGCTCCGAGTGTTAAGATCAAAATGGACTCACCTGTAACCAGAGGTTATGGCTGTCTTGCGGTCGACCGTTAACTGTGCACTGGAATGTGGCGGTCTGCCTGGCGTTGACCTCTACACCTTTGATATGGAGAAAGTGGGGGGTGCTCACTGCAAGAGACGAAGAGAGACGGAGATGTATACAATAACCAAAACCATATTAAACATGATAAATACAGTAGTTGCACGTATTGTCGTCTCATCCACTTTCAGTTTAATTTCCTTTGAGTCTAACAGTTTCATTCTTATTGAGATTGGTCATTTGTGGCCATTTTTTTCCCGAATTCACCTTTTCTCAATTTCTCCAGTAAGCCAAGCATTTATATGGCATCTGCCGCAACTCATACTAAAAACTGCCAATTATCTTTCAATCCTACCAAAAACAAATCACATTTATTCTCCATTGGCGTTAACCTTGGTCTGATCTCTTGAGCCAAGCGGGGGAGAAATCTCCTGAGATTCAATCACAAAATGGATCCTTACACTTTTTTTTTTATTTTTACCTTCTTCCCAGGAGGAGTCTCTGGGACAGCGTTTTCAATTAGGATATTACAGTGGAGAAAGGTCAGGAGGCAAGCTGTGGTGAAAATATTTTAGCCGGGGGAAGTATAAACCTTTCGACTCTCTCCAGAGTTCAAGGATATTGGAAGAAAGTTTTCACCAACGCAGCAGTAATGGGAAAAAGCAAAAGGGGGAGGAGGGGAGGAAGATGGCGGAGGGGTCAGGTTGCAAATCAAAACGGAGCCAAAAACTCTCTGTTCAGTGTTCAGAGCTCCCTGCGTTTTGGCCACGATCAAATAAACACACAATGTAAACTTGTTGATACGGTGTGTAGGGTTGGGTGGGTTGTCCCCTTACTCCTTAATAGTTTGGCAGCTGAACAAACAACAAAGCCGACGTGGCTGGGGAATCTGGGTCAATCAGAATATATAATGGTAGGTGGGATCACTACATCACTAATGCACGGATGAAAGTCAATGCTAATGAAATTATGGAAATTAGTTTTTAATTAGTTCCCCCTTGTCTCTGTGTTCGAGGCGCGCGGGCTGTAGTTGGCGACGACCTTGATTCTGATATCTGAGACGAGGTACACTAGAATGCACGCCACGGAACTCTGTGGTAGGCAATTAAAACAACTCTTGTGAAGTAACGCGGCGGCCCTGATATCTCCCAGCTCAGCACTCCCCCAGTCTTTGGAGTTGAGGGCTAATGGTATTGCCTTGCTTCACCTGGAAAACAAACGTGGACCGAGGCCAAACTTTGAAGAGTCTAAGGCCCCCTCTATCTTGACACTTAATCTGTCGAGAGCAGTTGGAAAGTCACACACGTGTCTAGGCTAGTGACGTTGTTAGTAAAACAACTAAATTATAACTTCATTCAACATAATGTGTGTGGTATGTGTGCTTTACCACGCACTCGTAATCATCCCACATTCTTTGTGGAGTGGTGTTCCTCCGTGCCTGGCTACATGGCGAAGCAGATTTGGCCGTTCTATCGGAGGTAATTAACCTAGCTTATTCACACAGATCTGGGGGAGGATTGTGGAACCGGAGCCTTTCCTGGAGAGGAGGGGAATGACAAGAAGCTTGCTCCCATCCAGTCCTTTTGCCATTGATTCAAAAATACATATTTAATTTGACAGCTTGTGTAGTATAATTCTGTCTTCGTTCATGTCACAGGACTGTACAGTACATTCGGAAAGTATTCAGGCACCCTTTATTTTTTCCACTTTGTTACATTACAGCCTTATTCTAAAATGGATTAAATTAATTGTTTGCCTCAATCTACACACAATACCCCATAATGACAAAAATAAAACAGATTTGTAGAATTTTTTGCAAATTTACTATGAGACTCGAAATTGAGCTCAGGTGCATCCTGTTTCCATTGATCATCCTTGAGATGTGGTAAATTCAATTGACTGGACATGATTTGGAAAGGCACACACCTGTCTATATAAGGTCTCACAGTTGACAGTGCATGTCAGAGCAAAAACCAAGCCATGAGGTCGAAATAATTGTTTGTAGAGCTCCGAGACAGGATTGTGTCGACGCACAGATCTGGGGAAGGGCACCAAAATATTTCTGCAGCATTGAAGGTCCCCAATAACACAGTGGCCTCCATCATTCTTAAATGGAAGAAATTTGGAACCACCAAGACTCTTCCTAGAGCTGGCCGCCCGGCCAAACTGAGCAAATCGGGGAGAAGGGCCTTGGTCAGGGAGGTGACCAAGAACCAGATGGTCACTGACAGAGCTCCAGAGTTCCTCTGTGGAGATGGGAGAACCTTCCAGAAGGACAACCATCTCTGCAGCACTCCACCAATCAGGCCTTTATGGTAGAGTGGCCAGACGGAAGCCACTCCTCAGTAAAAGGCACATGACAGCCCACTTGGAGGCACCTAAAGGACTCTCAGACATTTGAGAAACAAGATTCTCTGGTCTGATGAAACCAAGATTGAACTCTTTGCCCTGAATGCCAAGTGTCACGTCTGGAGGAAACCTGGCACCATCCCTACGGTGAAGCATGGTGGTGGCAGCATCATGCTGTAGGAATGTTTTTCAGCGGCATGGACAGGGAGACTAGTCAGGATCGAGGGGGGAAATGAACGGAGCAAAATACAGAGAGATCCGTGATGAAAACCTTCTCCAGAGCGCTCAGGACCTCAGACTGGGACGAAGGTTCACCTTCCAACAGGACAACGACCCTAAGCACACAGCCAAGACAACACAGGAGTGGCTTCGGGACAAGTCTCTGAATGTCCTTGAGTGGCCCAGCCAGAGCCCGGACTTGAACCCGATCGAACATCTCTGGAGAGGGAAAAAACTATTTAATCAATTTTAGAATAAGGCTGTAACGTAACAAAACGTGGAAAAAGTCAAGGGGTCTGAGTACTTTCGGAATGCACTGTAAATATGTTGCCCAGGAATATACTGTATATTGAGTTCACTATATAGCAAAGACATGGGTCGGAAGGTGACAGCAATAACATGTGAGAAGAGGGAGATGGAGGCCTGAAGAGTGGCACTGGGTGACTTATGAGACACGCAAGGGACGGGTGCTACATACCACATTCATTGTGTGTGAGCGTGTGTGTGTGTGTGTGTGTGTGTATGTGGCAGTGGAGACTTACTGCACTGGTGGCCTTGCAGTGTGATGTCCTTGATGGCCAGTAGGCCTCGTTGTCCTGTGCTCACCACCTCAAATGCAATCTGCAGAGGGGAGGAGAGGAGAGAAAGAGAAGGGGTGAGAGGTTGGCAGTTGGCACAAACAAACAGCATCCTCAGTGCACTTCCTGTGATCATAAAGAAGGCTCCCATCATCCTATTCAAGGATGCGTCCCAATGCTCTAGCCTTCTCCTAACGAAGGGGTCCACAATCTTTTTCTCTCAGGCCCCCCTTCCAGCATTGGGGGACATCCCTCGCCCCCCCCCCGCGCGCACGTGCGCCACATCTATTTCTATGGAAACAAGCACTGTTCATGACACAAACTGTTCACACCCCTCTTGTTGGCAGAGAGAACATTTAACAGGTTTAAAGCTTATTTCCTGCAATTCTACACATTTTGTCATGGGGTGCAGAGAACATTTTGCAGTTTTAAAGCACATTTTCTTGCAATTCTATACATTTTGCCATGTCTAATGTGTTTTCATGTGATATTTGAGTGACTCAAACATTACAACAAAATCTATGGTCCCACAGTTTGGGAACCACTTTCATAAAGTGTGCACTTGTCTTGAACACTCTCTGTCACGGATTTAAAACCATCAAATTGGTGTAAGCGTCGGTTGGAGGGAGTTTTCACCATTGCTAATAAATCCATGTCAGGGAACGTGCAAGTGCACTTCGGGAGAAGAGCAGAGAATGGGAACGCAGACATAGACAACACTCCTGTGCTCCCATTCATTGAACATCTAGTTAGAGGAGGGAGAAGCTGGCAGCTGGTACAGTTTAAGGGGCCCCGGCCAACGCGTTCAGGTTTCAAACATAGCTCATGAGGCAGGGAGGCGGAGGGGGGAAAGGATTGGGTTACTGTTACATGGACCCTTTCCTTGGACCGTTTTCAAACAATGGGGCCTGAGTCTATGATGACTGGGTTCATTTATATCCCTGAATCATCATGGCTTCCAGAGAGCATGCTTTAGCTATGAGGCATGTTATGTGGGTTGGATCTCCACTGTTTGAGGGTGCACACCTCGTAAAGATCAACCTAATCATTTGAATGTAAAAAAAAAAAAGTTTTCTTGTACAGTGTCTCCTCCTCCATTTCCCACGGGTAGGAGGAGGGAGGGGAATGGTAGAGAGTGTCTGGAGTCATGGTTTCTATGACAGGGTGTCTGTATCGTGTGTTGTTTTTTTAACGGCTGCACCTGCGAGGGACTATATTTGCCACGTCAGCTCTGTTGCGTTACCACGGTGACGAATAGAGCGGCCGAATCAAGTTCTCACACTTCTGACCTTGCGGTCCACTTCAGAAGGGCCCCCCCCCCCCCGGAGGCCACATTCCATGGCCCTTATCTCTCAGGAAACAACTGGTTAAAGACGCAGGGGCCGCCTTCCTGTTCTGGCAGCACGCCCACCCCACTTGGTTTACATCAGAGCTTTTCTATGGGCCAGAAAACGGGCCAGTGTGACCTCTTTCTGGGGAACCTCCATCCCTTCTTCATTCCATAAAGTTGTTCCCTTTGCACTAGTCACCTTGTCCTTGTTCCCTCTCCTTCATGGATTTGAGACAACTGGGCCGCTGTAAACAATGCTGAGACCTAGTTGCCACCATATTGTTTTAAACTATCCAGTACCATTTGATCAGTGATGGGAGCAAGGGCAGAAGGGAAGGAAACAACGTTGTGGTATGAAACACACCCCCTCTGTAATGGTTGTGAGTATCTCACTTGACTCGGTAACGGACGACAGAAACGTTAACGGACGACAGAAACGGTAACGGACGACAGAAACGGTAACGGACGACAGAAACGAGGTCAAGAGAGACAACGGTCCGTTGGCGGTCGAGGTCAAGCAGACAGATATGATCAAGGGTGTAAAGTGCAGCGTTCAAAGTTCCTGAACAACAAAAACAAACACTTAAGATAACATAACTATGTGGGGCCCAGATATCAGGTTTGTAGATGCAAAAATACCAAAACAAAACAAATGTCTGGGGAGACTACAATATTGAAAACTGAAAAACCAAAAAGCGTGGCCTTGTACTCTAAACTCAAAACAGTCAAGGGGGTTTCAAAGCCTTCTCTGGCAGACTCATGCATTTCTGCTTACATTCCTTGTGAGGTATTAGAACCCTAAAGCAGATGATGTCCCAAGGACACAAATCAACTTAGAGGAGATAGCAACACTATAGGCTATGCATTACTTCCTGGAAGAAAACACTGCTCCAATTCTAGCCATGATTATGTTCAAACTCCTTCAATACAGCAGATCCTGTGAATGGTAGGCTTCATCCCAAATAGTACCTTATTCCCTATATAGGACCTTGTTCAAAAGTAGTGCACTATATAGGGAATAGGGTGCCATTTGGGACTCATAGATGTGTGCATGCGTACCTCATACCAGGCTGAAGTATGGAGCTCAGAATTATGAATGGATCTACTGTGTCTATTCTTGTGGCTCCACTCATCATGCCTACCACATCAGCTGCTGTAGGATGTATTGTTGAGGGACCATACCTACTCCAATAGAACCTATTTAAATATGGCCTTTGTGTGTTACAAGGGAGGGCCCAACCGCACCAGTCCCAATGCCCCGTGAACAAATAGGATGAAATGAGAGTCATTAGCCATGAAATAACATTGTTGAGCTGAGGCCAAATGAGATGCCTTTAATAAAAAATCAAATGTGTTTTAATAGATTTGTCCCTCTCCTCCCCTCTCTCTTGCTTCCTTTTGAGCGATGGCAGAAGCCTCGGCCGCTATTTACGCCTAATTTTCAAAAAGGAAATAAAAAGCAAACGGCAGCATGCAAAATGTCACGATGTGCCGCCGGGGTGATTAAAACTGACGTTGTTAATGTTTGTCGCCGTGGTGATGCTAAGCAACCCACTCGACCATTTGTGTTTAGGTTAATCTTCTTCTTTAGCTGCACCTGGTTAATGAGCTCAATTAGCCATGATAATGTTCATGTGGTTTGTGGGGGCTAGAGAAATAGGTTTGCTTTTAATAATATAAATAATAATATGCCATTTAGCAGACGCTTTTATCCAAAGCGACTTACAGTCATGCGTGCATACATTTTTTTTTTTGTGTATGGGTGGTCCCGGGGATCGAACCCACTACCTTGGCGTTACAAGCGCCGTGCTCTACCAGCTGAGCTACAGAGAGGAGAGAGGACCACGAGTAGTGCTCCTCCGAGGTGTGTGTGCATGTATATTGCTTTACCTCATGGCGTCCTTAGTGGAACTTCAGGTTCACCACATCTTTTACAAAAAGTATTGTCAGTAAGTTGTTGAAACTTCCTAAGAACAAAAGGCTGACCTCTCATGCATGTGTAATAGCAGACGGTGAAGAAAGGACCCTTCCTTCCTCTCACCCTGTTCATTAAATACTGATGCGATGTCGCCCGAGTGTTCCTTTACGGTTCACCTGGTAATTGTGATTGTGTCTAAAATTGGAATTGGAATAACAGAGCAGGTGGAGATGAACAACGCAAAATGCCAGGATCAAGATCAGAGTGTGCCGGGCTGGGGAAGACAATTACCATATTCGAAATGCACGGCGTAATTAATTAAAAGTTTCTCAAATGCGCCCCAACCATTGCAATGTAATTAGACCTGTGCTGATAGACCTGCATTGTAAACTGAGGGGAGCGAAAACCATACGATGTAATTACAAAATAAGAGACAAAGTAATTTCTGAATACCAGGTGGTTTTCATTTTGACAAACACTTAAAGATACTGTGCAATTACAGAAAGCCCATAATTACTTGCTACATTGCTAATTGGGTATAGAGCTTTGAAGATGACGCCTTTCCATTGTTCATCTGAGAGAGTAATAGGAAGTCACAACTCTCAAGAGAGAGACGCTCCTTCTGCACGGTGCCTCGGTGAAGCAACAGATGCCGGTGATTTCTCTTGGGAAATGTGGAGATGTATTTATCACTCTTTACCATCGGTCTCTCTAGGGAAAACCTCACAGGCGCGTGTAGGATGTGTATAGGATGTAGAGTGTGTGTGACCTTGTGTGGGAGGAAACCAAATATTTGGCGTGAACGGTAATTGCCTCGGTTCGAAATCCACAGCTCTGCAGCCTGGCGGCACGATGATGCACACAAAAGGAGTTTAATTTTCAGAGAGGAGGAGAAATATTGGAGCGTGCTAATAGAAAGTGGTTTGACCTCAGGACACCTTGGAGACTGTTTACTGTACTGCCATGGAGCTGCACTGAGAAAACATGGACTCTGTCAGAGTTTAATATTATGCCCTGCTAATGGACAGTGTTTAAAGATGGCTCGCGTGCTGGGAAGATGTCCCGACTTGCAGGGATCTGATGGGTTCTTATCTCCACCCACGTTACCACTTCATCAGTCTGGATGTACAGCCGCCAGAGGAAAATAACACACTGTCTACCGTTTCCTAACTGCCCACAGTACAACAGGACATTGACTTGAACAAAACTTTACATTTCCTGAACAGTAGGGCCCTCACTGACAACTCTACCCCTTGTTCTATGTGCCCCTTTATAGCACCAGCCCCATCTTCTTCATCCCACCTCACCTGGTAGAAGTTGGGCCAGAAGGTGCTGACAGCCAGTTCCACCTGGCGCCAGGTGGGGTAGGCGGGCCCTGAGGCGTTCCACACAGGGATGCCCTGCGGACTGTTGTTCTCCTTGACATAGACATTGAGCTGGCCCGGGTTGGCACCCTCGCGCTGGCCCGCTACGTAGTACTGGAAGATGAGGCAGTGGGTGTCGTTCTCCTTGAGCTGGGGCATAAGCAACTGGGCCTTCTGGCCCGAGAAACGTCCGCTGGTGTTGACCATCATGAAGGCCGAGTCTGGGGGAGCGGGGAGAGCGAGAGAAGAGCAGGGTTAGTCATGAGATGGCCACAGCATGACCTCTACTGAAAATACTAATATCTACAAATGGCATGAATAACTCGACTAGAAATCACATTTATTTAAAGCGGGAATCAGCAGTTGAAACATCGCTTTATCCCATGCCCTTGTTTCGGTAAAAAGCTGAGGGATCGGGCTGGAGAAATGTAACCACTCAAATTCATAGACAGACTTATGGAATCAAAGACTGACCATCCACGATATCAAAATTATAGTTTTAACCATGCTTTGAGGCTATAATGTTTGTTTACTTTTTTTTTTTTTTTACAAACATTGGAGTAAAGGAAGCTTATATTTTGGGTTCTGATGGGGTAAGACAGTTGAACGAAGCTCATGAGGAAGTTATATTCTTCAAGAATCAAATGGGTACATATAATTAATTTATAAGTCCAAAAATGAATGCAGCAACTGCAGATCGGCCCTTTAAGATAACAGAGATTCATACGTTTTCAATGAGCATGAGTTACACCCACACGTTCAATTATGACAGTTTAAGTTTCAATATTAATTAGACAGGGCAAGTCATTAGGTCATCCAATACCCATAGTTTCTGAATGGCCATGTCATGAACAAACACATTTGACAGCCGACGGTAGGTACAGTACAATAGGTGCTGCTTTCAACGTGTGGCATAATCAGCAGGCTATGTGTTTGTAGAAGATAACTTGACCTGCTGGATTCAGAAACAGGAAATATGACCTCAGCACAGCGAACACGGCACATACTGTATTTTTATAACCATATCCAAGTCTACCACTTAAGTTGATGACAATGAAGGAAGGCTTGGCATTATGACAAGACTAAATCATGGCTAATAAGTTAATACAGTTTGAATCCAAGTGCACAAAGGTGTGAACGGTTTGCTCCAGACAGAGTCTTTATTACCATGACAAAAAGGAAACAGGCATGAAGAGAATATAAAGAGGAAGAAAGGACGTCTGCCTCCGTCAGAAGAAAGGACGTCTGCCTCCGTCAGAAGAAAGGACGTCTGCCTCCGTCAGAAGAAAGGACAGTTAATGAATAACCCTGATGTGACATTAAGAGAACCTTGCCCATCCTGGCAACCCTTCCTGACTATTGACTCTTGGTCCTCTGTGGACACAGTCTTGAAAGGCCCCGGTGCACTCCCAGCTCATTTAAAAGGGTATTTTCAACATTTTTTTTTTTTTTTATGGGCAAAAAGTGGAGCGTGGAGTTTGTTTTACTGCAAAAGCCCCTCGGCAGTTGTTCTGGCTCGTGTACGAGGTGTTCATTATCTATACAGACTGGTTTTCTGGAGCCGAGGTACAAGTCTATATTTATCTCTACAGTACTGTACAGCATTATTTGAAAAATAAGAGTGACATAAAAAAACTTATATTTATACAGGGGCATATCGTGTGGAGTGGAATGACCCACCAACAATGAATTAGAATTCTCATAGAAATTCTCCTCACTAAGTGCGGTATGCCCAAACAGCACTGTGGAAAATCTAAAAGTCTCAAGTGTCACTAATGTATACAGCTCCATTCCATCAATTTCTAGCTTTTTCAGAAACCCTGCTTTTCCCTATTGAGGGCTCAGTCTGTAACATCGCACGTCATGCACTAAAAGCCTAGATGATGGGGATAGTGAAGGATTGGGGGGGGGGGACCCTGAGTGGAGAAGAGAACAGAGAACGGGGAAGGGGTCACTTCGTCCCTGGCCTTCCTTCCCCACTTCCATTAAAACCTGGAGAATGCGCTGTGCCATGGCAACGTTGAAGTGCTCAGCACATGGGGCTTCAGCCTCTCATTAGTCCATCTGTGCTTAGGTGTTGGCCTTCCGGGGCTAGAGTGCTGAGCGGGAGGAGGAGTGGGAGGAATCGATACGGTCTGGAGGTAGTCTAGGGTACACAAGGGACAAATCCAGTAGGGACCGATGGGCGCCCTTGACACACACCACTTTTGAGGTTGAGGGCCGTTATTGAAAAAGCTCTCCAATTTTCTCATTTTAATTACCAAGGCAGTAGCTTAGACAGTGAAAGGGTTGGCGAAACAAGAAGAGTTTGTATTGAATGGATCTCTGACGTTATTCAAGGCCGGTCATGTTTTCTCGATGATTGGGGTACTACGTTGGGACAAACACCCTCGTTTAGGTATATTTAGTCCACTGTAAAAAGAGCTGTGGCCTTAAACATTCAACCTCTCCCTACTGTTTGCAATGCTCTGACGGATCTGAGGCCTTCAACTTAGAAGGTTAAATTATTTTCAACAAGAGCCATCTACTCAGGTGGTGAACAAAAGAGACGTTCAAGAGCAACCAGAGTTAGTGCTAACAAGCAGATGTACTGCTGTACACAAGTTGTACTGTAGTTGTAGCTCCAACTTGTAGTACAGGAGGAATAAATCAGTCATCCAAGGTGAGTCAGTCCCTAGCGCCAGTGTCATCCGTAGGTTGGCATATGCACGGACTCACTTCCTTCGGAAAGTATTCAGACCCCTTGACTTTTCCAAATGTTGTTAAATTACATCCTTATTCTACAATGGATTTTTTTTTTTTATCCTCAGCGATCTACACACAATGACGAAGCAAAAACAGGTCTTTAGAAATTTTTGCAAATGTATTAAAAATAAAACACAGAAATATCTTATTTACATAAGTATTCAGACCCTTTGCTATGAGACTCGAAATTAAGCTCAGGTGCATCCTGTTTCCATTGATCATCCTTCAGATGTTTCTTCAACTTGATTGGAGTCCACCTGTGGTAAATTCAATTAATTGAACATGATTTGGAAAGGCACACAACTGTCTATGAAAAGGTCCCACAGTTGACAGTGCATGTCACAGCAAAAACCAAGCCATGAGATCGAAGGAATTGTCTGCAGAGCTCCGAGACAGGATTGTGTCGAGGCACAGATCTGGGCAAGGGTACCAAAACATTTCTGCAGCATTGAAGGTCCCCAAGAACACAGTGCCCTCCATCATTCTAAAAATGGAAGAAGTTTGGAACCACGAAGACTCTTCCTAGAGCTGGCCGCCCGGCCAAACTGAGCAATCGGGGGAGAAGGGTCTTGGTCAGGGAGGTGACCAAGAACCTCATGGTCACTCTGACAGAGCTCTAGAGTTCCTCTGTGGAGATGGGAGAACATTCCAGAAGGACAACCACCTCTGCAGCACTCCACCATTCAGGCCTTTATGGTAGAATGGCCAGACGGAAGCCACTCCTCAGTAAAAGGCACATGACAGCCCGTTTGGAGTTTGCCTAAAGGCACCTAAAGACTGTCAGACCATGAGAAACAAGATTCTCTGGTCTGATGAAACCAAGATTGAACTCTTTGGCCTGAATGCCAAGCGTCACATCTGGAGGAAACCTGGCACCATCCCTACGGTGAAGCATGGTGGTGGCAGCATCAGGCTGTGGGGATGTTGGGGCGGCAGGTAGCTTAGTGGTTAAGAGCGTTGTGCCAGTAACCGAAAGGTCGCTGGTTCTAATCCCCGAGCCGACTAGGTGAAAGATCTGTCGATGTGCCCTTGAGCAAGGCACTTAACCCTAATTGCTCATGTAAGTCGCTCTGGATAAGAGCGTCTGCTAAATGACAAAAAAATAAATAAAATAAAAAAATAATGTTTTTCAGCGGCAGGGACTGGGAGACTAGTGAGGATCGAGGCAAAGATGAACAGAGCAAAGTACAGAGAGATCCTTGATGAAAACCTGCTCCAGAGCGCTCAGGACCTCAGACTGGGGCGAAGGTTCACCTTCTAACAGGACAACGACCCTAAGCACACAGCCAAGACAATGCAGGAGTGCCCTCGGGACAAGTCTCTGAATGTCCTAGAGTGGCCCAGCAAGAGCAATTTTAGAATAAGGCTGTAACTCAACAAAATGTGGAAAAGGTCAAGGGGTCTGAATACTTTCTGAATGCACTGTAATTACACAGAAAACTACAATCCAATGACTTAACTTCTCTCTCCCTGGCTGTAGTATTAATAAGACAGAGGCTCCCCTCCAGTGTCGTGTCCAGTCTTGTGCATTAAAGTGTACCTTTTCCCACTTACAGTGGGGGAAAAAGTATTTAGTCAGCCACCAATTGTGCAAGTTCTCCCACTTAAAAAGATGAGAGAGGCCTGTAATTTTCATCATAGGTACACGTCAACTATGACAGACAAATTGAGGGGAAAAAATCCAGAAAAACACATTGTAGGATTTTTTATGAATTTATTTGCAAATTATGGTGGAAAATAAGTATTTGGTCACCTACAAACAAGCAAGATTTCTGGCTCTCACAGACCTGTAACAACTTCTTTAAGAGGCTCCTCTGTCCTCCACTCGTTACCTGTATTAATGGCACCTGTTTGAACTTGTTATCAGTATAAAAGACACCTGTCCACAACCTCAAACAGTCACACTCCAAACTTCACTATGGCCAAGACCAAAGAGCTGTCAAAGGACACCAGAAACACAATTGTAGACCTGCACCAGGCTGGGAAGACTGAATCTGCAATAGGTAAGCAGCTTGGTTTGAAGAAATCAACTGTGGGAACAATTATTAGCAAATGGAAGACATACAAGACCACTGATAATCTCCCTCGATCTGGGGCTCCACGCAAGATCTCACCCCGTGGGGTCAAAATGATCACAAGAACGGTGAGCAAAAATCCCAGAACCACACAGGGGAACCTAGTGAATGACCTGCAGAGAGCTGGGACCAAAGTAACAAAGCCTACCATCAGTAACACACTACGCCGCCAGGGACTCAAATCCTGCAGTGCCAGACGTGTCCCCCTGCTTAAGCCAGTACATGTCCAGGCCCGTCTGAAGTTTGCTAGAGTGCATTTGGATGATCCAGAAGAGGATTGGGAGAATGTCATATGGTCAGATGAAACCAAAATAGAACTTTTTGGTAAAAACTCAACTCGTCGTGTTTGGAGGACCAAGAATGCTGAGTTGCATCCAAAGAACACCATACCTACTGTGA